GGTAATTCTTGCGCCCAGGCAATCCTATATCGTTCCAACACACCCTTTCTGGTGCGTTAAGCATGAGACGCCGTGACACTCGCGTGCACCTGTAGGGCGACTATACACGGCGCCAGGGCGATCGCCACATTTTGAAACGGAGCCGCCCTCCAGCCGCGAAGCCCTTGCAATGTTTTTAAGACGAGTGTGCGCAGCGCTACTGCGAAGAGCCGCATGTTGAAGACCACCAGTTCGCAATCAGAGAACCTGCTGTTTCTTGAGACGAGATGTGCGCGGCGCGAAGGCGAGAGCCACATTTTGGAAGCGGCCCGCCCTCCATCAGTGACGCTCTTGCAGTTTTATGTAGGCGAGCGTGCGCGGCGCTACGGCGAGAGTCACATTTTGGAAGCGACCCGCCCTCAATCAGTGAAACTGTCGCCACAATTGAAGCTTCGGGGCCATACATGGTATGGAGCTCTCAGGCGAAACGCCTGGCCCGCCCTTCCGACGAGCCTCGGGGTGCGATTGGGAGGAGTTATCTATAAGGATAAGGAACTGGGGAGGAGGGGCAGGAGGAGGAGGAGAGGAGCTATCTATAAGGATAAGGAACGGGTGAGGAGGGGCAGGAGGAGGAGGAGGAGGAGGAGGAGGAGGGGGAGGGGAGGAGGAGGAGGAGGATTAAAAGGATGAGGAGGAGGAGGAGGAGGAGGAGGAGGAGGAGGAGGAGGAGGAAGAGGAGAAGGATGAGGAGGAGGAGGAGGAGGAGGAGGAGGAGGAGGAGGAGGAGGAGGAGGAGAAGGAGGTGGTGGAGGAGGAGGCGGAGGAGGGCGATCAGAAAAGGCCAGAAGCCTCTTGGATGCCTCTCGGAGTCTTGTCGGATTTTTTCCGAGAGCTTCTTGGAGGCCTCTTAGGGCGTCTTGGGAGTCTCTTCGCAGTCCTGGGGGCCTCCTGGGGCGTCTTGGGTGCCTCTGGGGGGCCTCTGGGGGGCCTCTTGGGGCCTCTTGGGGGTCTCTTGGGAGCCTCTTGGCGGCATCTTGGGGGCCTCGTGGGGGCCTCTTGGTGCCTCCTGGGCACCTCTCGGGGCCGTCTTGGGGCACCCTTGGTAGCCTCGGGGGCCATATCCGGGCCATCTTGGAGGAGATCGATCAAATGAGGGGCCGTGGTACCTTAGGGTCCGCCCCCTTTCCTAGATGCCAGAATGTGGCCAAAACCTTAGTTTTAGGTCTTTGCGCCGATGCCTCCTGGGGCGTCTTGGGTGCCTCTGGGGAGCCTCTTAGGGCCGCTTGGGGGTCTCTTGGGGGCCTCTTGGCGGCATCTTGGGGGCCTCGTGGCGGCCTCTTGGGGCCTCTTGGGCACCTCTCGGGGCCGCCTTGGGGCACCCTCGGGAGCCTCGGGGGCCATTTCTGGGTCATCTTAGGGCCGTTTTGGAGGAGATCGATCAAAGGAGTGAGGCTCCTGAATTAGGGTGCCCCCCCTGGAGGCCAGCAAGTGGCGAGCATCTTAGGCACATCAGTGGTTGAAGTCTTTTCGCTGAGGCCCTGGGGCGTCTTGGGTGCCTCTGGGGGGCCTCTTGGGGCCTCTTGGGGGTCTCTTGGGAGCCTCGGTCATCTTGGGGGCCTCTTAGGGGCCTCTTGGGGCCTCCTGGGCATCTCTTGGGGCCGTCTTGGGGCACCCTCGGGAGCCTCGGGGGCGATTTTGGGGGAGATCGATCAAATAGGGGGAGGCTCCAATTAGCGCCCCCCCCCTCTGGAGGCCAACATGTGGCCCAAACCTTAGTAACATCTGCGAATTTAGCTTCCTTGCCGAGGCCATTCTGGACGCTCGTACTGCTCGCGAGCCCCCTCCAAATCCAGGGGTAGGGGGTAAGGGGTCAAGCTGCCCTCCTAGATAGCAGGCCGTCAAGCTCACTCCCACCCGCCCTCCCAACACAGAAGTAGCACCCGAGTGTCAGCAGACCCTGGAGGCCCAGGAGCGCCAGGTGCGGTGCGTGCTCCATGTGCGCCAACTGTGGCACGGGCTCCAGCCGCGCACGGTGCTCCAGCTACGGGTAACCCTTAGGGACCCCAGGTGCCTGGGGCCCTACTGGCCCCAAGGAGTTCAGGATCTCGAGTCCCCCCTGCAGCGGAGTGCCGAGCATTCTGTGAGGAGGGCGGCTCTTCCAGGGAGCGCAAAGCACCGGCACCGACTCACAATTCGTGACATCTTGAGGGGTCGTAAAACAGACGGGAGCTCAGAGAAAAGAGGGCCCTGCGCATGCTCCGGATTTGGAGCCAAAGTGTATCTTGTATTGTTTTTCTTAGGGATGGTTGGCCTGGGCGCAGCAAGCAACATGCTGGCACCCCCGTCGTTCCTGTCAAAAACCAATGCAAAATGGTCGCGGGGCGCCCGCGCATGCGCCAGATTAGGAGGTATAGTGTTTTGGAGAGGCCTGACGGCCGGTGCCGCCGACCCTGATCGAAAGGGCTAGGAGTGGGGGGAGGAAGCGGAGGATGAGGATGAGGATGAGGATGAGGATGATGATGATGATGATGAGGAGGAGGAGGAGGAGTAGGAGGAGGAGGAGGAGGAGGAGGAGGAGGAGGAAAAGGAGGAGGACCAGGAGGAGGAGGAGGAGGAGGAGGAGGAGGAGGAGGAGGAGGAGGAGGAGGAGGAGGAGGAGGAGGAGGAGGAGGAGGAGGAGGAGAAAGTGCATCCTTTGTGTGCCCGTTCGAAGAAAGTGCGCCCCGGGAATGTGATATTCTGACTTGGGACGTGCTCCCGGAAGATGAAGAAGTGCATCTCGGGCGTGCCCGCTCGAGGAAAATGCGCCCTAGGGGGGGTGGTATTTTGACTCGGGGCCCGCTCCCGGGACGCCTCTGCGGGAGGAGGAGGAGGAGGAGGAGGAGAAGGAGGAGAGGAGCAGGAGGAGGAGGAGGAGGAGGAGGAGGAGGAGGAGGAGGAGGAGGAGGAGGAGGAGGGAGGAGGAGGAGGAGGAGGAGGAGGAGGAGGGAGGAGGAGGAGAGGAGGAGGAGGAAAAGGAAAAGGAGGAGAGGAAGGAGGAGGAGGAGAGGAGGAGGAGGAGGAGGAGGAGGAGGAGGAGGGGAGGAGGAGGAGGAGGAGGAGGAGGAGGAGGAGGAGGGACCAGGAGGAGGAGGAGGAAGTGCACCCCGTGCGTGCCCGCTCGAGGAAAGTGCGCCCCAGCGGGCGTCGTATTTGTCCCGGGCCCCCCCCCCTCCCCCCCCACTCCACTACGACGTCGTTTCATTTCGCTTTGGATAGCGCGCTTGAGGAGGAGAGCCCTGGGAGGGGGAGAACGGAGACGACGGAGACGACGAGTCGAACGGAAAAGCCCCTCACACACGCCGACAGGGTCGGCGGATTTCTATGGTTTTTTTTACGGGATGGTCGGGGGGGGGCTCTCTGGTCCAGGTTGGCTGCCATTCGCCCGGGGGAGGGCGTGTTTACATATATATATATATATATATATGTATATATGTATATATGTATATATATATATATAAATATCTACTGCGAACTGATAGGCCCCTCCCCGAAGGGGGTTGGAAGATGAAATGTTGTGAACCACTCGCGCCCTAAAACCCTGGTGGGATTCGTCAAGCACCTTCGCCTCCCCTTTGGTCGGGCTGGGTGCTTGCGCTTAAACATCTAGTTTCAGTGGCTTCTGTTACGCGGGCTTGTGAACTTTTCGTTGCACTCCTCTGAGAGCCCAACTGCTCTCCGCCCCTAGCAGATACATCCACACGAAAACATATAGCTATCTCATGGTCATCGTCATGGCAGGCTATCAAAATACCGTGGTCCCTCGGGTTCGCTGCGATGGCTGAGAAGGCATCGTTGCGTCCAAGACACAGCGGTCTGGGATTGGAGCTCGGACCTGAACCTCGTGTAGCACATCCTGTACGTCCGCAAGGCAGGCTTAATCCACTTCCAGTTGTGGCCCCTGGGTTGGCCAGGAATTTCTGGCTCAGGAGATTGAGTAGCAGATGAAAGCATGATGAAAGCCATCAACAAGACTCATCGCTGGACGTGGCGCCTGCCAGCACTAGCGGTGCAGCTGGGGGGGTGACGGAGGTCGGGAGGGCGGAGGAAGAAGAGGGCACCGCGGCCGAACCCGCTGCAGCTGCTGCCAGCGTCGGCCTGGCCGGCGGCGCCGGCATCTGGGGCGGGACCAGAAGAGATGGGAGATGGAATTCCTGTCGGGCAGACCCTACGACCGCGGAAAAGCCGGGGGCTCGAAGCCCATTGTCAAAAGTGTAACGCAGGGGCCTGTAAGGGACAGACCAGGGAAGAGTGTTGATTTCACCCTTGTAGGGCTGCGCTGATTTTAGCGCCCCATCCTTGACGTATCTGTGGGCCAGGTCGTTGCCTACAGCTCTGCGCCACTCTGGTGAGCCAGCAGGCAGCTCTTCAATAGTTGCATACGCCAGGGCCATGAAGATGCTGAAATGCTGGCCCATGTGGCCGCCCCACTGACTTGGATTTGGAGGCTGGCATAGGCGTGCTGCCACGTCCCGATTTGCAGCCGCGGCGCACCAGGCTTAAATTACCATTCATCCTTGCGACTCCGGGTCAGAGTTGCGTCACTGCGAGGACAGCGATGTGCTCCACCGCGGGGAAGATGCGCGGGTAATTTGCGCCCACGGACCCCCAGAGGGCAGCGGCAGCGAACAACTCGCACGCCAGAGGTACTTTGATCACGGCTCAGCCTGCTGCATGAAAGGGTACCAGGCCTTCATTGAAACAGGGAAGAGGAGGAACAGGGAAGAGGAATAACAAAATGAGGGCCGAGGAGGAGGAGGAGGAGGAGGAGGAGGAGGAGGAGGAGGAGCAGGAGGAGCACGAGGATGAGGAGAAGGACAACGATGATGATGATGATGCTGCTGATGATGATGGTGGTGATGGTGATGCTGATGATGATCATGGGGGTGCGTGCACGGACATGATTAAGCGGGGAGTGGGGTGTCGTCTGCCAACGATTAGCAGGGAGCATTGCGACCGCAGCCCTTCTCGGTTCTCAGGCTATGCAGTGGCAAGCGCTTCCGAACCTTCCACTGTGGTTGGTTCTCTGGTTTCAGCTCGGAGAGCTCGTGCAGGAGCAGCTCTCGCAGTCCGTGCGGGAGCGCGAGCTGGCGGCGGCTCGCAACTGGACGGACGGCGAGCGCGGCCCCGCCGTTTCCGCCGCCCCCACCGCCGCCGCCTGCCGCGCCCGCGGCCGCGTGGGCGGCTGGGGCGCCCCTGTGGGCGGCGGCCGAGTGCCCCGCCTGGGAACCAGCGGCGGAGGAGTGCCCCGCGGCCGCACCCGAGCCCCCAGCAGGCTGGGACAGCGGGCCGCTGCTGTGGTGGGCGGGGCAGGTGCTCGGCGGCGCCGCGTGGCGCCTGTGGCAGGCGCGGTGCGGGGTCAGGACAGCCACGGCGGCGAGAGATGGCGAGAGCTCACGTGCCGTTGCGCCTCGCCGCAGGGGAGCATGAGTTGTGGCATGAGGCGGCGGTGGGCTCGCGAGCCCGCGTGAGCTACTCGGACGACGACGTGGATCATGAGATATATCTACTATGGCCAGCTCGACGTGTGCGCGAGGACGGATCGGGGATAGAGGACGACGAGGTCTGGTGGGTTCTCTCTCCCGACGGGGACGTGTGGAAGGAACGGCCCGACGGGGGAGATCCTCTGACAGGCCCGAGCGGGGCTCGACCGATGCCGAACGTAGGCTACCCGTTGCTTGGCGCTCGGCGGCTGTACAAGTTCAGGGAGAGACCGAATCTTGAGCATATCATGGCGCTGAGCAGGGGGTGCCGTGACGTCGAGACGGCGAGGGGGCAGAAGATGGAGGAATGGCCGAGGTACGTTATCGGGGACGATGGTCATCGTACTGAGCTGTCGGCTCGGCTGTGTTGCGTGCTCCCCGAGGTGATCTGGGTCAGCTTGTGGGCGCCTCTCCCCCTGCAGACGCGATCTGGGTGCTGGTGGGGCCAGGCGGCGGACGGGCCATAGGCGAGGAAGTGCGCATGGCACCGACGGACTTGATGACTGGCAGCGACGGGCTGAAGTTCATGGGATCGGAGGTGTCCCGAGTGCGTCGAGTGGCTGTCGGTAGCGCGCCCGCGTTGGCCAGTGAGCAGATAGCGCGCCCGCGCCGAGCCATAGACGCGTTGGAGCCGCTGGTCGACAGATCTGTAGAACAGGGGGTGAAGGACCAGCTCGGGCCGAACGCCAGCGAGAACGGTGGCGAGGCTGGCAGTGGAGAGGAGCGCAAAGCGACCAGTAGCGTGGACGACGTGAGGGCCCTCAGCGTCGGCTTCGACGGGCGCGGCGAGAGGTTCAAGGATTGGGGCAGCGTGGTGAGCGAGATCACGGCCGAGAGCTTCCCCGACGACCCGATCGATGGGCCCGTGTCGATCGCCCACCTGGCGAAGGCCATGTGTAAGAGCGGCGGCGACCCGATGCGATGGGTGGCCGAGTGGGGCCGAGAGCACCGCGTCGAGCGCGCGGATCGGATCTACGACGAGCTGGAGGTTCTTTGCCACGCCTTTCTGCTAGCAGGAACCTACGACCAGGTGAACTTGGGCGGTCTGAGGTCGTTGGAGAGGCTCGCGGGGCGGATCCGGGTGATCACCGACGCCCATTCTGTGCCTGGGGCTCCAGCCAACTGGCGGATGGCCCGCTACCTCACAGGCGAGACGGGCCCAGGAGACGTGGTGGCGCCTGAGTTGCGCAGCTTCGGTGCCAAGCGGGCCAAGGAGGACGCCGAGTTCTTGAACGCTCGTGTTCGGGGCCTCACGGCGGCCGAGCGGCCCGAGAGAGAGAAAGGTGACGGCAAGGGCGACAAGAATGGGCCGAAAGGGCCGAAGAAGGCTCCCGACGCGACCGCGTCGGGAGCTGACGGATGATGATGGACGGAGTGGCCGCTGGACGTGGTCCAGCCAGCGGCCTCGAGTGTGCAGGGCCGCCTGGGCCGTGGCCTGGGGGCGGCGCTCGCGACATCTCCCCGCTGCCAGGGAGGGGGGAGCTCGCGAGCCAGACGGCGTCAGGGCGAGGACGGGCTCGACTTCGTCAGCGGCGCTTTCGCGATGTACTGGTGAACGAGGCTGTTGACAGCCTCAATTGGCTTGCAGGGGCACCCGTGGGGTCTTCCACGACGCCCGTGACGGCCGTGCAGCTCGGCGTCATGCAGCGCATCGATGGGCAGGTGAACGACGTCGTGCAGCCGATGCGAGGCGTGGAGCTGCAGCCTCCGCATTCAGCCCTGCGGGAGTTGATGCGAGGGAGGTCGCCTTACCTCGGCGGCCCTCCCGAGGACGTGCTCGCCCCTTGCCGACCTGGGCTGCCGTCGCTTCCTGGGGGCGTCGCCGAGGCGCCTGCGCTTCGTGAGCTGCTTCGGGGGCGAGCGCGCCAGTGCGTGGATGGGCAGGGCGAGCGCATGCTGCGGGACCACGAGAGCGTGCTCGAGGCGCTGGAGCGTTGCCCGCGGGTGCCCTTCAGCGAGCCATCGCTGGTGCGGAACCGGCGGCGGTGCGGTGATTTTGTGAGGGATCTCGCGAAGCGTGGACTGGTGTGATTTGCACGTCAGGTCCGGAGATGGTGGGCATCCTCTTCGCGTGGAAAAAGGGGGGGGGGCACAGACTCGTGGGATTCTGGATTGTCGCAGGAGCAACGCTTGGTTGATAGATCCCCCGTCGGTGCAGTGGCTGACGGCGGAGGGCCTCTCGGCTTTCGAGCTCGAGGAGGGCGGGGGCGCCGAGGGCCGCCTGCAGGCGGCCCTCCAGGCGGCGCTCGAGGACGTGGAGTTCTCGGTGGGGGTGGCGGACGTGAAGGGCGCCTTCCACCGCATGCGGCTGCCGCTTTGGATGAAGCGCTTGTTCGGCCTGCCCGCCCTGAAGGCCGGGGGCGTCAGGCTCCGCGGGGCGCTGCTGGAGGGGGGGGGGTGCTCGGCTACGACGACGTTGTCTTCCCAGTCCCCGAGGCTCTCCCGATGGGATGTGCCTGGGGCCTGTGCCCGTGCCAGAGCGTGACGGAGCTCCGCTGTCAGTTCGCGCCGAGCCTTCGCGACGGCGCGCCCCTCAGCGACGCGGGGAAGCCGTTGGTGCTCGGGTTGGCAGCGGGTGCGGCACATATCGAGCACTACGTGTACGTCGACAACACGGGCGTGATCGGGCAGAACGGGGAGCGCGTGAGCCGCAGCTTCGACGAGCTGGTGCAGGCTTTCGAGGCCGTGGGTCTACGCGTCCACGGGCGCGAGGTTCGGAGTGACGTCATCGAGGTGCTCGGCGCGGTGCTGGGCGGCCAGGGGCTGCAGACGCGCCCGACGCCGAAGAGGCTCTGGAGGGTGCGCCAGGCGATCGCGGGACTGCTCCAACTTCGTGCAGGCCGTGGTGATGACCTGCGCGTCCTGCTGGGGCACTGCGCGTACCTGGGCCCGGTGCGCCGCCCCGTGCTTTGCGTCTTTCGCTCTTGTTATAGGTTTACGATGAAAAGGGGCAAATATTCCGGGCCACTTTGGAATAGTGGCCGAGAAGAGTTGAAGGCATTTCGAGGCTTGCTTCCCCTGATCGTCTCAGATTGGTGGTTGCCATATAATCGATGGGTGCAGTGTTCAGATGCTTCAGAGAGCGGGTTTGGTATAGCGGGGAGCTTCTGGGACCTCGAGGCTCTCAGCTCCGTGGGACGCTAGCGGGAGAGGAGTCGTTTCCGTGCCGAGGGGGGGGGGGCGCTTGTCGCTCCGCCCTCTCTGCCGCGGGTCTTGGGGGGTTTCTGACCGCCAGGGGAGAGGACGTCGCTCTTTGTGTCGACTATGGTGAGAAGGCCTTGACCGAATCCACGATGCCCAGGGGTGACTACGAGATGGGCCCCGAGTTCTGTGAGGTGCCCAGCCCTCTCCTGTCTCATCAGCTTTGGCGTAAAGTAGGCCAGGGGACGTGGAGGTACAGTGACCACATCGGCATTCTAGAGTCCAGGGCCCTCGTGAAATCTCTGAGGCGTATTGCACTCACTCGTTTCGGATTACTTTGAGTACGAACTATTGTGATCTGGGGCTGCGTTGCTTTTCTTCATGCCTGTGTGTGGTTGTGCATGCACGTCTGATGAATAAGAGCTTCGCTTGATCCCTCAAAGTAGGTCATTCGTTGCTTCCTTGATTTGAGTGCTCATTGACCTTTGAACGTGACTTTCCGTGATTTGTCACGTGGTGCCTCACAGTAGGCCTTTGACCTTTGATCTGATCGACACTACGGTTGCCTCAAAGAAGGACGACACTACGGTTACCTTGATCACTTGCATGTTGTGATTGTTTCTTGGTCTGTGATGCTCTCTCTCGTTGCTCTTCGCTTCATTTGTAGCGGCGACGTGAGGTGTTGTAGATACTTCAAGAGTATTACGTTTTTCAGGGTACATCCAGCCCACAGGGGATGGCTGCACCAACCCGGCCGCCCTTGTAGGGCCCCGTGGTCGGACCGCAAACCGCAAAAAAAACAAATGCCAGGCAGATCTTGTTAGTCGATAGCCTAGGTGTAGCACTAGCGTGTGATAGATCTAGGTGTCGTAGCTTCGCGATATTGCGACATATTCGTAAGTTCGCTGCCTATCTTTTAAGTCGAAACCTTAGGGCGATCGTCCGCTGGGTCCCCATTGAGCGTAGCAATAGTGACGAAGGCTCGCGGGCCGACGGTGGCGAGCCATCCAAGATTCTAACGCGTCTGATTCCTGTCTCTCGGCCTGCCTTTTCTCTTCCTCCTGAGTCGAGTCTCAGGGGCGAGGATGAGTCGATTAGTATAGTTGGCGACGCCCCCCCCCGTGTCCGTGCACGCCGTTCAGCCCACTTAAGCTGTCGGCGTGCTGAGCCTGAGTCAGTTCTTAAACCAGTCTATTCTAGTTGCTGTAATGCAGAATGTGAGCAATCGAGTAGCCCCGCTTCGGTGCACCAGGCAAGAGCTCTGGAAACAAACAAGCATCGCCGTCACCCCTCCTCTCTCGTCCTCGGGGCTCCCTGCTCCTTTGGATCCGATGGGGCCCCTGCGTCTCGGTCTCACTCCGTAGCCGTTTTGGCTCAGGCCGTTGTGGATGCCTCGGACGCTGCCGAGAGCTCGGCCGACCGCGACGGGCCCTTCCCCAGCAGCAGAGCCATCGTCGGCGTCGCGGCTGAGGGTGCTCACGCGGGAGAGAGCTCGAGGCGCGAGCGGGGCCCCGCTGGAAGGCCGAGGGCCGCCAGTGCCAGCGGAGGGCTCGCGAGTGCAGTGCCTGGAGACGGCGGCGGAGTCGCAACCTGCCGCCGTCCGAAGGCGCGTCGCTGGAAAGCGGGCTCGGTCAGCTGGGGAGAGCTCGAGCGGCGCTACCAGCGAGTCCGAGGCCGCCGTCGAGCTCAAGCGGCAGAGGCCGCTGGTGAGGCGTGTGAGGAGGCGGCGCCACGCGGTGGCTCGTGCGATCGAGGACGGGGTGCCGCTCGGCCGATGCTTGGAGTCGAGCACGGTAACGCCGCGGGTGAGGGCCCAGTACCAGAGAGTGCTCGAGCAGTTGAAGCAGGGGTGTGGCCGCCAGGACTTTCAAGGTGCCAGCGGAGACGATGGGCGCCTGCCTGGTCCACTACTTCACCTCGCTGTACCTGCTGGACGAGCAGGCTTCGACGGGGATGTATGTCGCGGCGGCTGTGAACCATTTCCACACAAGGTTTGGGCGCTTGGGAGCGGCCGCGCTACCACGGATGTGGAAGGCGCTGAAAGGATGGAAGCGGCTGGCGCCTGGGAGAGCCCGGATGCCCGAGCCGCTGGACATCTGGTGTGCCCTTATGCATGTTCTGGTGTTACGGGGGCGACGGATGATTGCGGTGTTCTCGGCGCTGGCCGTGTCGACCTACCTCGGGCCGTCGTCCCTGTTCCGTCTACGCCCTGGCGACACAGTGAAACCAGGGGGTGGCAGTCAGCGCTGGGGGCTCCTCATGCACCCCCAGGAGCGAGCGACGCCCGACAAGGTGGGGGAGTTCGACCTGAGCGTGAGGCTGGACTCCTCGTGGCTTCGGTGGATCGGGCCAGTCCTGAGTGAGATGCAGATGCTCGATCCTCGGGAGCCTGTGTGGGAGTTCGACTACCCCGAGCTGCTGCGCGAGATGAAGGCGGCCTGCCGCGTGCTGCAGCTGCGACCCGTCACGCCGAATCAGGCGCGGCACTCGGGCGCCGGTATCGACCGTGCCAGCGGCGAGAGGACGCAGACAGAGGTGCAGCGGCGAGGAGGCTGGCGCCAGTTGAAGAACATGGCGCGCTACGAGAAGAGCGCGCGCCTCGGGCAGCGCGCGCAGATGCGCGGGCCGATGCTGGAGGCGTGCGGCGACCAGTGCTTGCTGGAGCTGGAGCGCGCCTTGGTGTGGGGGCGAGCGGTGCCGCTGCCGGGAGGCATCCAGCCCTCGCCGAGCGGTTCAAAGCGCTCCTGATCGGGGACGAGCTGGCCGCGATCGGGTCGGGCCTCGCCGAGAGTAGGGTGCCTACCTGGATGTGGCGAGGCGACGCCCTCTGCGACGAGCGGCTGGGCGCGCCCCTGGAGCGCCGCCTCCAGGCGCGCGTGCGGCGTGGCGAGGTGGCCGTGTTTTTCTTGTCGCCCGCGCTGCCGTCGGCGAGCAAAACTACAGGTCGGTTAGCAGGCCACCGCCATCTGCGGAGGTTTGCGGAGCGTTTGAAGCGTCTCATTGCCGCTGCCTGGCAAGCTCGAGTGCCGCTCCTCCTGGAGATACCCCAGGGTAGCCGGCTCTGGCTACATCTCTTGAGCCAACCCGAGGCGCCAGAAAGTTTCATGACGACAGTTGTCAGTGACAGATGCATGTTCGGAGCATCCTGGAGACACCGTTGTATATACATGCGCGTTGGCACGGAACCCGAAAACATATCGATATTGGCCCGTACTTGTTGCAGCTGCACAGGCATTTGTGATAGGACTGGCGTTCCTCGTATCCGCCTACGGGGCAGAGATAAATTCGGAGTGAGCCACACTAGTTATTCTCTTAAACGCCCAGCGCTTTAAAACCACGCGCTCACTCACTCCCTCCAGTCCCTCGCGAGAGCCTCTATCTATAATGCTAACCCTGTGTAGGGGGCAGGGGGCTCCCGCGCGGCGGGGGGGTTTCGTCTGACTGTCTTCGGTTCCCTCTGAGCGGGACCTTGTCGGCCCCTTGTCCCAGAGCTGTGGAGGAGCAACTCGCTTATCGCAGCGAGCCGTCGTTATCAGAACTCGCTTCTCCGCCCAACGAAACAGCGTATCATGGGGGTGCGTGCGCGGATATGATTAAGGGGGGATTGGGGTGTCGTCTGCCAACGGTTAGCAGGGAACATTGCGACCGCAGCCCTTCTCGGTTCTCCCAGCCCGCCCAACCCTGGAGGGGGGCTCCCGCGCGGCGGTTTTTTTTTTGTCTGGCTGTCTTCGGTTCTCTCTGAGCGGGGCCTTTTCGGCTCCTCGTCCCAGAGCTCTGGAAGAGCAGCTCGCTTATCGCAGCGAGCCGTCGTTATCAGAACTCGGTTCTCCGCCTAACGAAACAGCGTATCATGATGATGATCATGATGATGATGCTGATGGTGATTATGACTATGACGATGAGGATGAAGACGATGATGGTGATGTTGACGAGTGGGATGATGATGATCCTAATGCTGATGATGATGACGATGCTGATGACGATGATGATGATGATGATGATGATTCTGATGCTGATTTTGATGATAATGCTGTTGATGATGATGCTTCGCGGTGATGATCACGATTATGATTATGATGATGCTACCGCTGTTGCTGATTATGATGATAGTGCTGTTGACGATGATGCTTATGCTGACGCTTATGCTGATGCTGCTGCTGATATTGTTGTTGTTGGTGCTGCTGTTGCTGCTGTTGCTGTTGCTGCTGCTGTTGTTTCTTTTGCGGTTGTTATTATTGTTGGTGATGTTGTTGTAGCTGTTGTTGTGGCTGTTGTTGTTGCTGTTGTTGTTGGTTATTGTTGTTGTTGTTGTTTCTACTGTTTTGTTGTTGTCGTCGTCGTCGTTTTCGTTGTAGCTGTTGATGATTGTGATAATGAAGATGATGGCGATGATAACGATGATGATGATGACGATACTGATGATGATGATGACGATGATGATGATGCTGACGACGATGATGATGATGATAATAATGATGATGATGATGATGATGTTGATGCTGCTGATGGTGATGATGGTGATGTTGATGATGATGCTGTTGTTGTTGATGATGATGATGATGATGCTTGTTGTTGCTGTTGCTGATGCTGATACTGATGCTGAATGTGATGCTGACGATGATGCTGATGATGATGATGATGATGATGCTGCTGCTGATGATGATGATGATGATGATGATGATGATGATGACAATGCTGATGAGGCTGATGCTGCTGCTGCTGATGACGATGATGATGATGCTGATGTTGCTGCTGATGATGCTGATGATGATGATGATGATGATGAGGAGGAGGAGGAGGAGGAGGAGGAGGAGGAGGAGGAGGAGGAGGAGGAGGAGGAGGAGGAGGAGGAGGAGGTGGAGGAGGTGTGAGCTGGAGGAGGAGGAGGACGAGGATGAGGAGGATGAGGAGTTGGAGGGGTTTGAGGAGGAGGATGAGGAGGAGGAGGAGGAGGAGGAGGAGGAGGAGGAGGAGGAGGAGGAGAAGGAGAGAGGATAAGGACTAGGTGAAGGAGTCAAGTTAGCTAGCTGAGGGAGTCAGAGGGCCCCCCTGTTCCCACCCTCCCTCCCGCAACACAATGATTTAATTGTGGCACAACTTGACACTTGCATTGGAACGCGTTCCCACCTCGCGAACGGAAGGTGCTCGCGCGCGCACCCGCTTCCGACGAGTTGGCGAATGGAACGCTACGCAGGCTGGGCAGGGGCGGGAGCAGCAAAATTTCTGATGGGCCTGGCGAAGATGAAGCATGCGCCGCGCTGACACAGCACTGCCACTTTCACACGAGTTGCACGGTGTTTGGGCGAGGTCAGAATTTCGCCCGCTCTCACGCAGTCCCATTGCCGCTTTCGCTGTCATGCGATTCGGCGAACGACCCATGCGCCGCGCCCGCGCGGGAACGCCGCATTCGATCGAAATGCGCACGTGGTTCGCCAGGTGGGAAACTATACACAAGCACACACACAAACGCCGATTCCCAGGAAAATATTGTAAGATATGGGAAGTGCCGGGGAATAGGCAAATCCAGACAACATATGGGAACTCTTGGAATGGTGTCTCTTTTTCTTTTTGTTTCTGGGCCCCTTCAGTCTTGGCGAGGGCCACAAGTCGCCCGCTCGCGCGGCCCCCCCCCCCACACTGGCGACTCAGAAGCATGCGCCGCGCTGCGGCGGGAACGCCACGTTCACGCGAAATCTGCGCGACGCGGAGGCGATAAAGTCATCGGGGCCTTTCGCGCGGGATGTGCGCCGAATCCCGTTGCGGCCACGCATGTTGCAGCGTCGATGACAAAACGTCCATGTCGAGAAGAACGTCACTTACGCATGTCTCTTTTGAGGTGGGATGGGACTCGGATTGGCTGGCGATCGGCTGGCTTGGCGACAGAGCGGGAGTATCTACCAATACGGAAACATGGGCAGGATATTGTGGGGAAAGGTGTACGAGGTGGCAACAATTCGGCTGATGCCGTTTCGCATCAGTGCTCGTTTGGATTTGCCGGGCGCAAGCTGACGGAGGCCTGCATTGGAACAATTTGTTGGGCCTTGCAACCTGGGTCATTGTTCAGAGACACGTTCTGACACTTCGCAGGTGCTTTACCCGATGCGCGGGCACGCGGGATGCTAGATTTCCAGAAACAAAAAGCTGGTTATGGCACTTCCGTCGCTCCCACCTGCGCGGCTTGAACGTGGGCCGTCTACGTGACAATACAGTCCAAGTTTGCTGAGTCGTTCGGTGACTAATACAGGGTGCAGCACGGGACGTGCAGCACCAGACGGGTTGCACGGGGGGCGTGCATTTAACGTGTTATTTTCGCGCGCTTGTTTGGCCGTTCCTGGGGTGGAACCTCGCTCATGTTGGTGTCTACTGGGCTTCCCTTGGATGATCCTTCTTCTTCGCGTTCCCGCTCTTCTCCCTCTCGTCTTCCTTTCCCTTCTTTCCTGGTGTTCCCCTCAAGTCCAGAGCCCGACGGCTTGCAGGGGCCGCTTTCTTGAGCCAGCCGACCAGTTCGTGCGCGCGGCTTCTTCACGCCGACAGAGACCAATCGAGACATACTTCGGTACGTGATTGAGCAACTCGCAGGAATAAATAACTCCCATCTGCTCCCGGAGACAGGGATGGAGATGCCTCCGCGGCATCCGAACTACGATCTGCCGCGGGGAAGGGAGGGAGGGGGCGAGATGGTGTCCAGGGCAGGCGGCTGCTGGCTCCTTTTCGGCGTCGAGCATCGCATGGGCTTCGCGCCGCGGGCCGTTTCCTAGCGCTCCAGCCCCGTGGGCCCCCATCCGAGGGTCGAAATCTGCAGTCGAGGTCGACCAGGGCAGGGGGGCCACCCTCGTAAGCCCCCAGGCATGTCTTGGGGCGCGTTTCGGCCAGGAGTTCGAGCGGAATCCGGCCGTGGCGACCCACCGAGCGCCCGAGGGCCTCCAGGGCATCTGAGGCCCAGGCGACGCGGGACATCGCGACGGCCAGTTTTTTCGTCGACCTTGGCATCTGGAGGCCGTTTCCCAGCCCTGGGATCGTCAGACAACGTCTCAGGATGAAAAGCCGGCTCCGGGGAAGTGGTCGAGATCTTCTGGTCAGCCACGCGCAGAGGGCTCCCAGGGGAGGGGTTTGTCAACCAAAAGAATGAACGACACCACTCCGCCTACGGCCCTCCATGATGCGCTACGGCCCATCGGGGGCGGTAGTGTATACCGCGCAAAAGCCCACGCCAGATCTCCTGGTGTACGCTAAGCCCCGTGGGGCCGTAGGTGGGGTGGTGTCGTTTGTTTTTTGGACCAGTTTGGTGAAGGGCCAGTATCTCAAACGCCGATGAAGCTCCAAGGAGTCGGCGGATTCCGATGTCCCGACGACGTGATGCGGCCCGACGGTCACATGGCACTGCTGTGCATCCCGGCGCGGCTGGTTCGATTCGATTTTGACCCCGTGCCGATGCAGCCCGATACGACGCAGATTCTGATTTGATTCGACGTCCCATTTCAATGCTGACTAATTGCGCACCTGGAGGATCGTCTGAGGGCCATCGCATGTGACTTCCTTTCCGGCCACGCGCACAGGGGACTGGGGGAGGGGGGAAGGCTTCTTCGAAGCACCCCTGCTTCTCAGAAGGCGCGGGCCTTGTCTGCAGATGCAAGGCCAGCGCCTTCGAAGAAACACTCCTTCTAAGAAGCGTTCCCCCCTCCCTGGCGCGGGCCTTGTCCATAGATGCAAGGCCAGCGCCTTCTAAGAAGCACCCTCCTTCTAAGAGGCCTCCCCCCCTCCCCTTGACTCCCCTGTGCGCGCCGCCCACAAGTGGGGCCGACGCAACGAACAGCTTGCAACATCGGAGGAGCGGAGGCTCAAACGGGCTGCAGACCGTCCGGCAGCCTCGACCCCCCCCCCTCGATCCCGCGCGCCCTCTCGGGGCCGCCTGCGATCCGATCCGATGCGATTCGATTCGCCGGCTGGGGCCGCCGTTCCGATTCGATGCGATTCGGCTCGATCCGCCGGAGCCAGGCGCGGCGATCCGATTCCGATTCGATTCGGGACGATTCGCTGGCGATCCGATCCGTCTCCGATCCGATCTTTTGGATGCAACTCCTGGGGGGTCAAAATTCAGCATTGGCGCTGATATATACCCGTGGTCGAAAGCCGACCTAGTCCTGCACAATCCCGTCTAATCCCGACTAATCGCGTTTAATCTGGCTTCATCCAGCTTCGTGTCCCCCTAATCGGGCTTACTTGCTTGTCATCGTTCTTTCGAAGACCTCCTAGGAGTTGCCTCCTAACGCTCTGGCTTCGCGATCCGATCTGGTCCAGGCCTGCTGTCTGGCCGTCGCCGCCGCCGTCGCGGCCGAGCGCCCCCGTGGTCGGCAGCCGTTTCGGTTCCAGGCTCTAGGGTCCCCACGAGGGTGCGAAGTCCTTCTCGTTTCGCGCGTCGCGCTTCGCGGTCTGGGCGACTTCAAAGCGAGGTGCGAGTCCCTCATCATGTTCTGGGGTGGGGGGCGCGAAAGCGCGAAGATAATCGCTTCGCGCTTCGCGCTTCGCGGAGCGCGAAGCGCGAAGATAGTTACCCTGGGTTTCCACTATCCTCTGGCCTCCGTCCTCCCTCCCTCCTCCCTCCTCCCTCCTAGTTCTCCTCCCACCTCCCTCCTCCTCCCTCCTCCGCCCTCCCTCCTTCCCCCTCAATGACCTCTACATTGGTGCGGACCTCAGGTTTCCCTCCATAGGTCTGCGGCCCTCGAACCCCCGCTGGCCACTGTCAGGAGGAGCAAGAACAGATCACAAGGTAGAGGCCGCTCTCCTCCTCCTGCTCCTCCTCCTCCTCCTCACCCTCCTCCTGGTTCCTGGTTCCTGACGGCTGAAGGGATCGCTGATCGCAGCCGTCGCTTCCCCAATGCCGGTCGGCCTCGGGTGCCTTGCATCGTTCTGCTGCGGCATACGGCAAGCTTTGTGGTCGAGGGGAGGTTACCCGGAGGCGAAAGAGACGAGGACAAGAGGTGAGCAAAGTGGAGGCGGGGGGGGGGAAGCGGGGAGGGACCGCCCAAGCCCCAGAGGACCTCCAGGGCTCCCCAGGGAGGGGAGCTCGGGGGGGGCTTCCGGGCCACGGAACGGTAAAGTAAAGGTAAGCCTCCTCCCAGGTGTACCTGGAACCTTCCCCCCCCTCCTCCGTCTTCGGCGGCGGCCGCGGTGGAGCTGCGGCGGGATGCATTTCCTCAGGGTACGATCCCGCTGCATGGCAGCTGTGCCTGCACGGTGGCCAGCTGTGCTGTTGGCCGTGCTCCGGGTCTGGCGTGCGACGGGTGTCGCGCTGGGTGCAGCGCCCTCGTGCTCCTCTCAACAGACAGGGCGGGCGAGGGAAAGAGGCGAGAGGGACCCTCGGGGGACGGCCGCGGAGACGGCGGAGCCCGAAGGGAGGGAGACGAGGTATGCGTGTATGTGCACAAGGAGGACGACGACAAGGGTGGGGCGAGGTAGGCTGCTCCTTGCGCTGGCCGCAAGGTGAGAGACGTAGTCCAGTCCGGAGGCCGTGCGCGGCCTGGGCCCGCCAGGGGCCCTGGGGTTTGGCGGTTCACACCCAGTCTCCACCGGGTCGATGTGCTTTTGCTGGTCCTTCTCGGGCTTAGCACCAGCCCAGGTGCTCTGTGGCTGAAGCAGGGGTGGACCTAAACGGTGTTTTGGCGATTTCGTGGGCGGTTTTCGTTTCGATGTCGTTTTGCGGTGAAGGCGGATTGAAGACAGAACGAGGGAACACGACAACCAAACGGGAACGAAAAACACGGTTTAGGTCCAGCCCTGGGCTGAAGGAGGGCCTTCGACCTGTGGTCGGTCGAGGCTGTGCTACCTCCTTGGGTCTACTGCTGGGTATAGGCTACGGACAGTGGGACCAAAGCAGAGCGGGCGGTGGCTCTGTGAGAGCCTGCGACTGTTGTCGGTCGAGGCTACGCGGCAGGGCTGGCGATGGTCGCAGCTGCTCGGCGTGCCACGCACACTGAAACGGTGGGGGAATAATGGAAGAAACTAATGATCAGGATTGGCAGGGCAGGAGCAAGGGACTGACGTGAGGCCGAACCTGGTTTAAACTCGACGTCCTGGCGACATTCAGCCCATGTGGGTGCGGGACTATAAAAGTTGGTCCCTTGAACAACCCCAAAAAAGAAAAACACACATGGGCCCTTCAACAGAACTGGACACGCTGACGCTGGGGGCCAGGTGAAAATTGGCCGAAGCGTCGTCGGCCGTGGCAGCGTGGGGGATGCGCGGGAGAGGCACCCGGAGAGGTTGCGAGATTGCCTTCGCGCGCGGCGCGGGGAGCGAACCTGTCTTCGCGTCTCTGGCTGTGGCTCGTTGGTTGCTTGTGAGGGGTGGCTGGGCAGTGGGGGGGTCACTCAGAAACCCCGAGCCTCCGGTCGTTGTTTCTATCAGTGGCGGCTCATTACTTGTGTGAAAACCTGGCTGGCTGTGGTATCTGCGTGGCATCTGTGCCCTCGAAGGAAAATCTTGCTGGTAGCCATGTCGGCGAGAAGCTGCTCTATGCCGCCGCACTTGTTGCCTCTTCCCCGCAGCCGGTGGGGAAGACGTGGTCGTTGGCGGATATGTTGAAGTATTCGAATATGTGAGCCTTGCACATGAATTCCTGGTATAGTATCTTTGGGAGCGCTCGGCAAGCTCGAGGTTGTTCGTCTTGACGCACACGGTGGCTTTGGCCAGGTTGACTGGGAACAGTCCCGTGGTAGGGTCCACCTCGCCGAGCGTCCCCTCGGATCCGTTTAGGGCGGGCCTGTTCACCAGGCGAACGAGTCGGACTCGTTGCCCAGGGCGGAGGTGGCCTGTCTCTGAGGGTCTGGAGCCCGTCGGACTGTTATCGTTGTCCTCAGTCTCCT